TTATTTATTCATTTATTTTATTCAGAAAAACAACAAAAAAACCATTAAAAAGTTAATAAATTGTTGAATGATTTTGAATGTCTGAGATGACATTTTTACATGTTTATGGTTTTTACATGATCACATATGAAGATTTATATTTACTGATTTTTACATGAAACATTAATGAACTCACAAACTCAGTTTTGAACAGTCTAATATTTTTAGATTGTTTGCACATGGACTCTTTATTCTCGAAACTCTTTCTAGTACATATCAAAATTGTAACTCAACAAATAGGAATTTTTATCTTCAGTTATATTTTAACTCAATATAAACAGTTTATATGACTTGTTTTGTCACACATCAAACTTCGTGTGTAGCAACCTGAGTTTTTCTCATGGTTCAAGTATTTTTAGGGTTTTGCCCTGAGTATTAACACAACAAAACTTTGAGTATTAACACAACAACACTTTGTATGAGGTTTACTTTTCAGTCTGCATTTCTGTTCAACATTAACTTGGCAGTCAGGAAGTTGTTACGCAGCAGCTTTATTGTGTCTTTTTGATTCTGGTCTTTGGCTACACTGCCAACTTTAAAAGGTCACCAAAAACGGTCCTGTTGTCACTTTTAATGAGTGCTTACTGAAAAATGCACCAGTCTTGACAGCTCACCACATTAATTTAAATCTTGCTCTAGTGAACCTGTTGTTGATTTTTTCCCCCCCTTAAACAATATCCAGAAACTTAAGAAAGCTGTCCTTTTAAGAATAAAATAACCCTTTTAGCTTATAACCATGAGTAAACAAGTACCAGGAAGTACCGATAAAACGTAACAACCAACTTTTTTGGGCTACTTCTTTGTCTAAAGTTAAATTGAAACTTGTAAAATCTGGCTGACATGTTTTACCTGCTCTGTGGCCACCGTCGCCAGATTCTCTTCTCCAGTCTTTAGCTTCGGTAAATTCATGACCACATCGATTAAACACTCATCTGTTCTTATATAACTTAAGGGAAATTAGCCGTGGCATATTACTGAAATTGGCCTTTAAGGAAACAAAACAAGTCTAACATTTCCTCTTCCTTCTCTTCTTTTAGTTTAGCTGCGGTTTGCATCTGACTTCACATCTCACTGCTGCCACCTTGTGGCCGGAAGTCTTTCCTAATATGGCGAGGAGCAGATATTTCTGCCTTCAGCTGTTTTCCATTGGGAAAAAAAAAACTTTTTTTTGTCAAAAATTAAAAAAAAAAAAAGAAAAGAAAAACTTTGTGCCTGATACACTGTGGAAAAAATTGTGGACATTTTATCTGAAACTTTTGATAAATAACAAAATAAGAGACGTTTCCTTAAAACTAACAGAATGTATCCTTCTAATCAATACATAATGAAATATATTAAAACAACAGACCCCAACTATTAATTTTTGCAAAGAGCACTCAGAAACAATCAGTCATTTATTTTGGAATTGTCATATAGCAAAGTTTGGAAGGAATGTAACTTTTTAATTTGTAATATCGACACTGAATTTTCACTTTGGTGTATATGGAAAGAATAGTAATATAAACAGAAAACTGGCAATGTATCTATTATATTTTCC